ACTGGCTGACTGCCTGTCTGCTCTTTACTAAGCACTAAATGCAGAAATGAATAAAGGACAGTCTCTGATCTCGGGCAGCTCTCAAGAGGGCTGCATCTGTTCCATTCAGCATCTCTAGTCAAAGACCAAAGCTCATCTCTAACGTTAGAAAAACTGAACTATGCTTCCTGGGAATCAGGCAAACACTCAGGAAAGAGCAGAACAAAGTTAAGCAAATGGAAGGTCTGTTTTAAAAAGGTAGTAAGTGATAACAAGTCAAGTTTTTCAATTCCAAAGTCTTAAGATAGAAATAACCAAATTAAGAAACTGTTTTAAACACAAAATTCTCTAACACTAGAAATTATAAATTTCCAAATCGGCAGCTTTACTTCTTGTCTAATATTATTTAAAATGAATAGAATTATTCGTTGCAAGAATTAGTTAAATATCTTACGTGGAAACCAAAAGTAAAAATATAAAGTTGATGGATTTTTTTTAATCCACCAGATGGCTGATATCTTTTAAAAAACATATCCAAATCCTACTTACCTATGTCTTTGGCCCTTGAAGCTAAAGGTCTCCTCCACTGCGTGACAAATTTGTAAGCGTCAAGTCGAATTTCAATGATGTTATTCAGTAAGGCCAGAAGTGGTGCTAGGGGAAAAGCTGCCACAAAGATAGTTGTGAATCCAAACTGAAGAACTAGAGAAGAAAAAAGGAAAAAGAACAGAGAGTATTTATTTTCTGTTACTATTTTCAAAAGAATAGTAATCTGAATATGTCACTGTCTTAAGCCATATTTTCCCCAATACACAAAAACAAAGAACATCTCTTCCAGAAAAATGGCCAGGACACTGGAAAAAGAGGCACTTCCTGGGCCTGGAAGCACTGGCATCCTAGGAGCAGTGAGCATACCTAGGATCAAGATCTTGTTTTCTGAATTCCATTCTCTAATAAAAGGATCCAGTGTTCTGGAAAGAACGTTTGATTCCAGAGCTGTGGTAGGGAAAATACAAGATGAGCCTAGAATATCTTATGATGCCAGTGGTAAGGAGGTGCTTGAAAAATGATGGGGACATGTCAGTAGGACACTGGATGAATGTGAAGGCACTCCAAAGAGCCAAAGCTGGAACAATTTGGGCAACAAAATAAATAATTATAGCACTGTTATAACCCAAAGACTAAGTACCTAAGTCCATACTAATATAAATATTGATGCATATACCAATATAAATAAATAATTGAATAAAGAAATGGGAGATAAGGGGTGGCTCTTCCTTAGGGTAGAATTCTAATTAATAAACTTAGAAGGAATGATGGAAGTAGAAAATCACCATTCATCAAACATCACAGTAATAACTGTTTCAGGAAAGAACCATTAAATAATACTAAAAATTAGTAGGGGGAAGTATATTGAAGAAAACAGACATTTTTTTTTATTTTCAAAGTGTCTCCTCACATGATACATATTAATTACAAAGTGAAAATAGGATCTTTACAGTGGAGAAACCTGGTAGATGTCACCTTAACCAAGTGATCAAAGTTAATATCACCAGTAAAAAGACACATTGGTATTATCCAGCCCTGATGTGAATGCACTAAGAAGTTAGAACATCATTTATGCGGGATTGAAGAATTTGAAATTTGAAAATCTGAAGAATTTGAAAATTGAAATTGAAGAACCTTCTACAAAACTACTGAAAAATACTCTTCAAATATGTCAAGATCATGACGGAGTAACTGTCATAATTTAGAGGAAACTAAGGAGACACAACACCTAAATTCAATGTTGGATGCTGGATGGATAATGAATAAGAAAAAAGATTAGTGGGAAAACTGACAAAATTCAAATAAGGTCTGTAGATTAGCTAATAGTATTATATTAATGTGAATTTTCCGGTTTCAATAAATATAAGATGTTAACATTAGGGGAAGTAAGGTAAAGAGTAAACGGGAGCTCTACTGTTTTTGCAACTTTGAAAAATAAGAAGTTAAAAAAAGGGCCGTCCTTGACACAAAACAACCAGATGGCATAATGAAGAAAAAAAAAATTACTGGGCAAAATGGACTCCAAAAAAGTATTTGGCTAAATGAATGAACAGTAGTAAAATATACTTCCTACTATTTTTTACATTTTAAAATTTATTTTAAAAAGTAGCAACAACAAAACAACGACTAACGCTTACATATCATTTTCTATGTAACAGGCATTTCATCGATACTGTCATTTAATTTTCATGACAACCCAACAAAGTAGATACTGTTATTATCCTTATTTTACAGGTAAGAAAACTGAGGCACAAAGATGTCTTGTAACTTGCCCAAGACACATAACAAAGAAGTAATTCCAACCCCAGTGGTGTGGTTCCAGAGTCCTGCAGAATCTATCCACCTCATCTCTGTGACACTACCACCACCTCCGGGGTGTCCCCTCTCTTTGGTCACGTTCACACTCAGTGCCTATGCTAGGCGGCTCTTCACTCTCTGTTTCACACTTGGTTTTATTTTTCTCCAGACTTCATATAAATAAATAATTGAATAAAGAAATGGGAGATAAGGGGTGGCTCTTCCTTAGGGTAGAATTCTAATTAATAAACTTAGAAGGAATGATGGAAGTAGAAAATCACCATTCATCAAACATCACAGTAATAACTGTTTCAGGAAAGAACCATTAAATAATACTAAAAATTAGTAGGGGGAAGTATATTGAAGAAAACAGACATTTTTTTTTATTTTCAAAGTGTCTCCTCACATGATACATATTAATTACAAAGTGAAAATAGGATCTTTACAGTGGAGAAACCTGGTAGATGTCACCTTAACCAAGTGATCAAAGTTAATATCACCAGTAAAAAGACACATTGGTATTATCCAGCCCTGATGTGAATGCACTAAGAAGTTAGAACATCATTTATGCGGGATTGAAGAATTTGAAATTTGAAAATCTGAAGAATTTGAAAATTGAAATTGAAGAACCTTCTACAAAACTACTGAAAAATACTCTTCAAATATGTCAAGATCATGACGGAGTAACTGTCATAATTTAGAGGAAACTAAGGAGACACAACACCTAAATTCAATGTTGGATGCTGGATGGATAATGAATAAGAAAAAAGATTAGTGGGAAAACTGACAAAATTCAAATAAGGTCTGTAGATTAGCTAATAGTATTATATTAATGTGAATTTTCCGGTTTCAATAAATATAAGATGTTAACATTAGGGGAAGTAAGGTAAAGAGTAAACGGGAGCTCTACTGTTTTTGCAACTTTGAAAAATAAGAAGTTAAAAAAAGGGCCGTCCTTGACACAAAACAACCAGATGGCATAATGAAGAAAAAAAAAATTACTGGGCAAAATGGACTCCAAAAAAGTATTTGGCTAAATGAATGAACAGTAGTAAAATATACTTCCTACTATTTTTTACATTTTAAAATTTATTTTAAAAAGTAGCAACAACAAAACAACGACTAACGCTTACATATCATTTTCTATGTAACAGGCATTTCATCGATACTGTCATTTAATTTTCATGACAACCCAACAAAGTAGATACTGTTATTATCCTTATTTTACAGGTAAGAAAACTGAGGCACAAAGATGTCTTGTAACTTGCCCAAGACACATAACAAAGAAGTAATTCCAACCCCAGTGGTGTGGTTCCAGAGTCCTGCAGAATCTATCCACCTCATCTCTGTGACACTACCACCACCTCCGGGGTGTCCCCTCTCTTTGGTCACGTTCACACTCAGTGCCTATGCTAGGCGGCTCTTCACTCTCTGTTTCACACTTGGTTTTATTTTTCTCCAGACTTCCCTCTTTCCTTGAGTAAGTCCATCCACTCCCATGTCTTCATTATTCTCTCTCTGATAAGGATTCTCAGTTCTCTATCTCTAACCTGACTCTTCTCAGGGAATTTCCAGATGTATGTTATGAAACGGCACTCTCCACACCAGTCTCTCAATCTCATCCTTAAGCTTCTTCCTCCTTTCATCTCTCTCCTCCCTGCAGAGTCATCATGCATAAAAAGCAAGTCTCAGCTGGCTCAGCCTTCAGAATCATTAGCCTCCAAATCCAGCAATCACCCTTCAAAAATGTCACCTTTTTCCCTTCTGTCCATTGTCCCTATCAAGTTCAGACTCTTGAAACTTTTACCTCTCTCCCCCATTGCACTGCTGTCAGTGTGCCTAAAATGTTGGTTCAAGCCCATCCCTCATTAACTGCCTGCGCAAAACATTTCAGTAGGTTCTCGTTGCCTACAGAATAAGTCCCAAACTTTTAACCCTGCCACTCAAAGACGTCAGAATTTTACTCAAAGCAAGCATCCAAGTCTCGTCTCCAAATGTACCCAATAGCCCAGATGGGTTTCCCAAACAATCTTTTACTCTGGCCACTCTAGACTCCTGGTTTTACAGGGACACATCACATACTTAGTGTTTCCATTAATACTCTGATGAAATTCTTACCTCACAGGTAAGCTCAAATGTGCCCTCTTCTGTAACTATAATAACTACTGTCTCCTCTATAGCTCCCACAAATCTGCTCACGACCATAGAACTTACTTTGTCTTACTTTAAGGTTCTTTGTCTTTTTCTCCTATTGCACTGGGCTTTATGAAGGTAGGAATGGCAATTTCTTTGTGTTTCTATTTCCTACATACTCACAATAGTGGTTTTTCATATAGAAGGGACTTGTCAGTTACCAAATAATGCTGGTTCAATGACTGATATGTAATCACAATGAAGAAAGGCCAGGAAAGCAAAGAAAACATATCAGATAGAAATGAAAGTGGCAGAGATAATTCTTATAATCACTAAGAACACAGAAAAATGCAAGACTCACTAAAGAGTAGTTCTCTAAGGTTGAGTTTACCATAAAAATAACTGCAAGTTTAAAAGGAAAAAGAAGTTTAGTTCATCCCTAGGTTTTGTTTTTCTGACAACTAACGGTTAAATATTATGACCTACAATCAAGCCGAACAACTGCTTTCACATAGCACAGATGTGAGCTACATGATATTGGCCTTGAACTTATTAGCTATGATGCCCACTAGCTGCTGCTTTCCCAGTGGGGTCCAGGGAAGAGACTTCTCGTGGCGTAGAGGTAGGTGAATTAAAAAAACAAATCTTTGGAAAAACTTTTAAATATTGGAAAGCAGAGAATTATGTAACAAACTTGCACATACCGGTGGAAGAGTTAGTGTTAACTCTTGGTAACTCTCAATTTCATCCTTAAACCTGTTCCTCCTTTCATGACCCTCCTCCCTTCAGAGTTATCTTGCATAAAAAACAGTTCTTGGCTAGCTCAGCCTTCAGAGCCACTAGCTTTTAAGTCCCAACAGTTACCCTTCATAAATGTCTCTCATCTCTCCAACCCCTCTACTGTCTCTAATCGAGTTGACAGATTTTTTGTCACACCTACTTCATATCTTTTTAGAAATAAAATAAGTGAAACATAGATCAAATTAAAGTCTCTTATTTCCCTTGAGAGGTCTCTTTTCCCTTCACAGAGGCAACAACTAACATGACTTTTGTGTGCATCCTTCCAGTTCATTCATATTTTTAATACATACACATGTATATGCATACGCCAGTAAGCTATAGTGGATATAGCATGTAAACAATATTTTTTGTGCATCTAAAGTTTATATAGTGATATCATTCTTTACATATTTTTTGCCCTTTTCATTTCACATAATGTTTTT